ATACGTATTCGTGATCAGCATGCGAAATTCTAGTAAACGATGTATAAATAATTTCTTTTGAATCTGCTCTATTGTGTGCATCACGATACGTATTAATTTGGCAGAAAGAAAAAAAAATAGAAGGAAAAAATGTCGAAACAAATTCTCTCGAAAAAAATCGTGCAATAAAAAATGTTAAAACAACTCCATGCTGATATTTCTTGACTAGAGAGATCATTTTTTATTCAGTACCAAAGAAAAAGAGCGACAGACGTTGATCAATAAGTATTTTTTCCTTCTATATAAACTACTCCGACATTTTTTGACATTTTTTTCTTCTACATTTGTTCATTCTGCCAAATCAACACCATTCAACGTCCTTCACATCTTACCTTTCATCTATTACAGACTGTCACAGTAAAAAAATAATGAGCCATACGCTTAAGCACAATGTGATGTGAAATCTGTCCAGCATGTCGCAATCATTAGAGGTTCTGTTGCTTCAGCGTGTGTCTAAGGTGTATACAATGAGAAAGAAAAACCTTGATGCATGTGAAAGACACGTTGAATAGCAACAAGGGAGAAAATGTTGATTCGTTTTTAATAACGATAGTAGCTGTTCATTACCATTGATTGTTGGTGATTAACGGTAATTGCCATCTAATTTCTTGACAGTTTTCATCTATTTTTTCTTTTGTTTTTGGTGTATTACAGAATTTCCGTCATTGTGTAATTTAGTTATTCTGTTTCTTGTCAAAAAGAGAGTAATGACATGCCTAATATTTTATGAAAGAATAATAGAATATTCCATATCGATCGCAGTCTATAATTCTGTCTGATGCATTGTCGATCGCAGTTAAAATATTGGGATTTCGATACTATCGAATATTAAGTATAGTAATCGTGCGAAAATCGGCTAATAAGTAGTCATTTGCAGAGCTTTTACTTTCCTTCTGATGTATCAGTATCCATAATGGCGTTCAGCAGGCATTTTTCCAGGTTGCTCATACTATTGAAACTGAACCACGACAGATTATTTTTGTGTGAACTCAGTTTAGTAACCCGACGAAGTCTTTTCATCGATAAATTTGAGTGGGGACTCACTGCGATGCATTGTGTATCGATAATCGATGGTAGAATCCGTTCTTACACCATGATTTTTAATAAATATTGAAGTATCTGAAGTAGAACTTCAAAGACACTTTCTCTGGTTTCTACACACCACAAAAGGATTCTCAAAATTATTTTCTCTAGAGTCTAGTACATGTGAAAGGAGGGTCAAAAACTCGGTTTAGACCTCAAAATCCACATATACGAAAACAATGGTCTGATATTTCAGTACTACATTTTTGAACTTTGAGATAGCGACATTAGTGATCAGCGTCGCCGACTTGTTAGTCCTAGTCACTTTCAACGAAAATATTTCGAAAAAAAATTTTCCGAAACTGTAGGCGGGTACAGAGATCAGAAATCTGGAAATGATTTCAAGGGAAATTACCATGTTAGATTTGTAGTCTATATCAATCTTGTAACACTCATGTAGTTATTTCTTGAAAATATCTGGGAATTAAAAGTGGCCTTAACGCCCCTCGTCCTTTATCTTAATTAGTACTTAACTAATTAAATAAAAAACTCATTGATATATTCCCATCGTATGTGTTAATAGTGAACTATTCGTTGGTAATTTGCATCACTTTTAATACAAACAAAAATTCTATTGAACAAACATTCATTTAATTTTCCTTTACTACAACCATGTGCAGCAGATCGTCGTCGAAATACTGAGATCTTGACAAGATTTTTTTAACTATGTAAGAAAGATGTTTTATATGTTTTTGTTTATTTAAAAATATATTCAAACCAAATATAGGATCAACAAGTTTATATGGACGCCATATTGCATTATCTTGTTGCAGATGACTCGTTGCATGCATACGACAAGGTGTTTTAAAATGTGCTAAAAATGAAAAAAAATTAATTGAATAAATAATTCATTTAAGGTGCACGGAAAGCAAGGTTCGAGCAAAATTTTTTTCGATGTTTTATACATCAATCGATAGAGAATTTCACGGCGAGCAAGAATATGTGTTTTCTGAAAGTTTTCGAGGCTTCTTTCCCTTCGAAAAATCGAAAAAACTCAAAGGGTGTAAAAAACTCGATTTTCGCCGATTGAATTTTCAAGTTTCGTACTAACTTGGATTATTCAAACTGCCATATCCTTGTTCAGCTTTGAAAACTGAATTAGAAAATCGTCTGAAAGCCGTTTCAGTCCTAAACGCCTATCCGCCAAGATCATCGAAATCGAAGCGACCAATATTTCCCCGCCCATTCTTGCAAACTCATCACGAATTTTTCTGGAGACGCTAGAGCCAATATTTTCACATGGCTATGTTGTAGCCAAAACTCAAATTGGAGTTTTGGTTAGGCAAAACTAAAATTTTAGTTTTGGCTGACGATTGATTTAGCTAGCCAGAACTGAAATTCAGCCAAAACTAAAATTTTGACCAGAAGTTAGTCTGAAAATGGTATATTTGTTATAGTAAAAACTGGAATTTATGCAAATTTCAGATTTGCATAGCTCTAGACAAAAATCGGATTTAGCTATTTTCATATCAAATGTATTAGATTTAGATCAAAAGCAAGAAACGAGAAGTTTAAATAATGAAAATGTGACTGACAATCAAAAAAATGAAAAAATGTTCAGTAATAATCGTGTTTTAATTGAAAGTAAAACAGGCAATCAATTCTCTCTAAAGTAGAATTTAGCTCTATACTATTGTACATTTAGATGACATGATTAACAATATTTTTGAAAGACCTATGAAACATAGTTTTGACGAAGAAGAATCAAACAGTGGAGGTAAATTTATTCAAAAAAACATCTTGTGCACGATGAATTATGCAAACTGGAAGAAACAAAATAAACGGGAGAGATAATTTATATAGGGAAAACTCAAGGATTTTATCGCAGCTTTTCTATTTTCACAAGACAGTGTATGGTCATATTTGTTGATTTACTAAGGCATCGGAAATTCAAAACCGGAGCGCATTTTATTTTGTCGATATTTATACACGGATCGATAGAACTCATCGAGTTGAATCAGAATATGTATGTTTTAGCCTTCCAAAAACTTTTGAGGGTCGAAAATTTTAAAAAAATTAATATTCAAGACCTGAAATGCACATTAGTCAATTCAGTTTTTGATGTTGATTCCAAATATGAGATTGGTTCTGCAAATGAAATGAAAGTTTGACGGTGAGAACTGCAAAATACGAGTGCATTTCCTTGTTTTTGCTACCTGTTTCAAAAAAATTAATTTTCTCAACAACGAAACAATATTTGTAATGGCATCGAAACGTTTTTTTCTAGATTGAGCTTTTTATATAGAATTAGAATAAAAAGCTTTCAAAGCTTCAAAACTCGTTGGGTATCAGATTTACATCAGCTTTTAAAATGTAGATCGCTTTTTAAAAGCTTAAATTTTAATTTTTTTAAAATTTTCGATCCTCAAAAATGTTTTGGATGACTAAAGCACTACCATATGATGATGTCGCTCCAGGAATAATACAAGTAAGAAAAATAAAGTGTTTCGAAACAACATTCCAGTTGCGCTGGCACTCATAGCTAATTCATCATGTAATACTTGACGCTCATCTCGAAGTATTGGTCTAGCGTGAAATGCAGTTCCTGTGCGTATAATGGCTCCTGTGCAATCAATAATCATTTCTCTATTTCTTTTACATGAGCAACAAACTTAAAAGGACACATTTTGAAAGAACAAAAGCCGCTGCTTGTTAATAATGCGTTTCCTCGATTACGAATAACTGATTCAGAAAATCTGTTGTTTTTGAATCGAATAGAACAGTACTGATTGCTTAATTGTTTGATTTGTTTAATATTCTTAGCCATTACTTTGGTCACCTTGAAATCACGCTTGGCAGATTTGACTGACTTCGCTGTTTCACGCAATTCCTTTTGTTTCAATAGTATTTTCAAATCGGACCGATCGGTTTGAATTTCATGATGTTTTTCAGTCATACAGTTGAACGCTTTTTTGAGGTTGGCGCCAAGTAAATCAAAAGCTGTTTCAGTTGCCAACAGAGTGTCTTTGCATCTTGTAGTGGTGTCGTTATGTTCGTTTTGAGATGTACTTGATGTTATTCTAATTCGAATAGGTTCTTTTTCTGTCTTATCAGAAGATTCAGTAGCTGGTAACAGAAAAAATAGAAAATTTTTTCAGAATAAAGTATTACTAAAAGGGAAAGTAGTAAAAGATAACTCTCTCATCTAACACATGAGGAATTCTTATGATTGATTTATTACCGGAAGAAAACTCCTTCTAGACATAGTGGTGTCAGTTGAACGATAAGTAAACATTTAGGAAAAAAATTTGTTTAATAAGCCAAAAATAAATCATTTTTTGCTTCCGTTACTCAGTTTAAGCAAAAAATATGTATGAAACCGTTTGAGCGATAGCTAAATTGAGGTTTTTTGTTGCTTCAAATGAAAATCCCTATACTTAAGGCGTCGGAAATTCAAAACTTGAGTGCATTTTATTTTGTCGATATTTATACACGGATCGATAGAGCTCATCGAGTTGAATTAGAATATATGTGCTTTAGTCTTCCAAAAAATTTTTGAGGCTCGAAAATTTTAAAAAAATTAAAATTTAAGCTTTTAAAAAGCGATCTACATTTTAAAAACTGATGTAAATCTGAAACCCAGTGAGTTTTGAAGCTTTGAAAGCCTTTTATTCTAATTCTATATGGAAATATTTCTAATAGTTGAATTGTTTTATTAGGCTGATAGTCATGCGTTATTCTTTTACTAACCTTCAGCATGAGATCAGCGGCCACTTCGGGATATATTTGTTTGACCATCAAAGCAAAATCATTGAATGTGTGATGCGGATGATTTTTTCTATTTAACAGAAGACTTTGATCAATAACACTCAAAACACTGCTGAGAAAATCCACTCCTTCAACTGCCGCTTTTTGATAAATTAATATAGTTGATTTTTCTAAATAAGTTTTAGTTGATTTTTTGTCGATAATAAATATCTTGTTATGATGTATACTATGATACTTTTGATCCTGGCAATAAAAATGGAACCAAATTCGTCTAATACTGCACGATAGACACAAGCCACCATTCGATAAGAGGTATCGTACTGAACACCGATAATTTCTTCATCAGTGTACGGTGAAAGGTTGATAATTTCCAGAAAGCTTGTGTTTTCCTGCTGCCCTTGTTTCAACACCAGGAGCACTTGTGGACAATCAATGATTGTGTTAGTTATTACTTTTGACATGTCATTTGAATGACACCGGATACATGGATCATTACTGTTACATTGAAATAACAACTGATCGATTAATTTTTCCGTGATGGTAACATTTCTTGAGTTCAAAATCATAGCATCAACTTCCATGAGCACTTCTGATTCAAATCGACAGGATTGACAAGTTGTTTGACATAGAGATCTGAATATGACATTAGTGTTCAAAATGGGATAAACACATATCCTTAGGAATTTTAATACCGGTATTTGAATTGCGGTAGAGTATGGCGTTTTACGGGGTAGTGGTTCACAATTAACAGCAGTATTCGTATTCCGTGTCAGTTCCAACACAAACTTCTCCTTGATCTTCTTCGTACTACCTTGGATCAGTAATGATCTTAACGCTTTCTGTTGCTCGCTGATATCAGCACTATTTTGTCTAATATTCTCTTGGATAACTATACAATGAGCGAAACATTGCAATAAAGCATTTTCAAATGAGTACGTTGTAGTCTTACTTTCCCAGGGTTTTAATTCTAATGGATCAATATAAAGATTTAATTCTGGCTTTAAGAATGAATTTTCCAATCTCTTTAAATCACTTAATTTGGGCTTTTGATAGACTCTAGAAGAAAGAAACATCATAATTTAAGAGGAGCTTCCATTTTTTATTGCAAGAATCAAAAGTATCATAGTATCCATCATAACAAGAAATTTATTATCGACAAAAAATCAACTAAAACTTATTTAGAAAAATCAACTATATTAATTTATCAAAAAGTGGCAGTTGAAGGAGTGAATTTTCTCAGCAGTGTTTTGAGTGTTATTGATCAAAGTCTTCTGTTAAATAGAAAAAATCATCCGCATCACACATTCAATGATTTTGCTTTGATGGTCAAACAAATATATCCCGAAGTGGCCGCTGATCTCATGCTGAAGGTTAGTAAAAGAATAACGCATGACTATCAGCCTAATAAAACAATTCAACTATTAGAAATATTTTCATATTTAAAAGAGAAAGTTGGATTTTTTCTTACTCTCAAAATGCAATTATTCTCTGTCGAAACGAAAAACGTAAAAATATTTTCAAATGATACTTTCCTTTTAGTTTAGATGTTTATATTACTCGACTGTCCTTATTGCGGTCAGAAAGTGACAATTCAAGAACACACGGATATTTTTTTATTCAAAGTGGACATTTGAGCATATTAAAGTTTACCTTCAAGCGATCATGCGTAAAATGTAACAAAAAAATCGATAACTTTCGGCTCAAAGCCAACGATTTTATGATTCATTCTACACCACCAAGTTATTTATTCTGTATATCGAAAGTATCCAGTGCCCAAAAGTTGGTTTACCCAGATAAAGTGTAACTGAATATTTCAAGTTTTTAACAATTGATTTTTGATAGTTTTGATAATTTTAACATTTTGACTAATGCATCGTGATGTTAATAATTGTGATGTAAATAAATAATTATGATATAATTTTGATATAAAGAAAAATAAAATGTGTGTCTATTTCGTTAAACCAATTTGTAGACCACCCTGTATCTCTTTTTTTAAATTTAACGCACATTGTTATGATATATATCCATGGACGATGTATTCCAAAAAAAAACTGGGAATGAACCTTATTGTTTTCTAGATTGATTGACACTCGCCAATATCATCCCTACAAGGAAATAATTAAACGTTTTTTCTGTGACAATTATATGTCTTAACAGATTAGAAATCACGCAGAAAAAAAGAATATATAAAACGATTCCTTAAACTGATCTTTTTTCCAGTTGTAGATGCGTGCAGAATGCTAGAAACTTCTGTAATGGGCTTGTACGTTTGCGTTTTTAAAATAGAGATATTTCATAACTTACTTTTCATTATATTCAACTACACTCAGAAAATATCTATGATTCGTTGCATTTATTGTCATTAATATTAGACTTAATCTGAAAGAAAAATAGTTATTGACTGTAAAAATGTTGAAAGAAAATTTATAAAAGCAGACGAAAAATGTTTTCATGTTGGTAATTGTTGACAAATAATTAGAGAATCTCAACTTTAAGCTCAAACAACTTTGTGCAGCCCAACCCTTCACCTTGTCTCGTGTATAACAGTATTAACAGTGAATTTGCAGACTAAGTAAATCTTATCTTCAAATTACTCGTCTGAAATTTGCAAAATAGAGTAAAAGACGAAGAAATTTCCATTTTCTACAACTTCTATTTTTTGGTTTTTTTGATTCTCAATCAAAAGTTGTGTGTTGTTCTAATACCTCTTTTAACTTATTATCCGCCATATTGTGGCCTCCGCACATTTTCTTATCTGTGCCAAAATTTTCACCAATCCTGCTTTTAGCCACTATTAGTGGCAGTTATTTGTGGCTAAAAGCAGACAACGATTTTCTCATTGTTCTACAGCTTTATCATGCATTAGTACTTATTGGTAATTCACCTTGGTCAATAAAAAGATAGTTGTGGCCTTCTACTGGATTATAACAATATCATAGCGACATCAGTTATCTAACATAACGATTTGTAATAGCATAAATGAATAGAACGGATGGGAAAGCAAAAAAAAAGAGAACATGCATTTTCTACGTGCATAAAGACTTAAACAGTTACGTTTTTAACGTAACTTGCATTATATAACAAGGTAACGCTCGTCTCCGCTCGCTCGGTCCCTTGATTTCAGGAACTTATGTTTACGAACGACCTTCCATGACTGTGAATCGAAGATAATGTCAGAAATAATGTGAACTTCTGTGATTTCACAGAAAAAACGCCCAATGTAATATGAAGTTAAAACGTTTTCTGGGCACCCTCTGGATATTCAAAGGGCGTCGAAGTATTCCTGATTAATTCGCCATGATAGACTATCTACATTCTGTAAGTGTTACTATCTGTAGATTACTCTTTTGTTTTGTCAAAATTAACTGATTTTCGGACGACATCTATCCCCACAGAACCACAGAAAAAGTTTGCTAAGTTGTTTTTCTTTCTGTTTCAGCAGATATTTCTGCTATCTGTTTGAATGTTTTCTCTCTCGTGGTTAAAAGAATCTTTCTGAATTTTTGCAAAGGTTATGTTATTTTTAGAACAAAAATCCGAAGATCTGGAAATAACATTAAACTACGTGCGGCAGAGGATGCTAATTCCACGGAAATGAGCTGGTTCCTATAGTTTAATAAACGGAAATTTGCCTGATTGATCCATAAAGATAATTACTAGCTACTTAACAGATATCTAGACAATAACTACGGATCAAGGATTAAGAAACCAATCAATAATCAAACAGTATAAGCTACATGTTGAAGTTAGGAAAAGAAAATAAATTCTTTTTTAATTTTTTTCTTTTATGCAAATTTCAAGGGCAAAGTCTAGTACAATCACAAATGTCAGAGTTCGTAGTAGCAAAAAACAAAAAGTAGGAAGGGGTAGGATTTCGAAGTATTTTATAGTATGACTTATGTCAAAAAGTAGGATAAATCTAGAATATGTGAAATAAGGCTAGACAACGTTTGTACTTATCTCTACTATGGCACAGTGTGATGCTTTTTTTATGTACTCCTATCATTTTTGGTGCATATATAAATAAAAAATCTTCAGTAAAGACAGGACCACTGAGAGGCTTTTATGGGTGGATCACTAAATTTTCTTTGTGACTAATGTAAAACTTTTTTGCCAAATACTAGAAGAATGGTCCCACGACCAAAAGCTTAAGATTATTCGTTACGACAATGTTAGGCATCTATTTATGTCTTTATTTTACTTTATATATTTTTTTATGTAGTTCTATGTATCTCCTATGTCTCTGGTTTATACATGCTTAAAGGACCATACTTTGGTTTTTAAGGTTTACTACACGTATTTACTTTCTGTTTTTCTTGAAAAATGAAGGGCTGTATTTTTCGAAACGTAGAAAACTGGATTTTAAGTCGTTGATAAATTTAATAAACGAAACTGGAGGTAGCTGCTGTAGTTTCGTCCATCAATTTATTTTCTGCTTTTTAATATTTGTATACATCAAGTTTTCCGTGTATCTTAGTTGATGTAGTATATGTAGCGTTTGGTGTGCCAAAAAGCATGAACATAAAATCAGATGACATCATCTTGATAATGAACTGCAAGCCTATAAAGAAAATATGTTGAGCTTTTTTGCTTTTTTATTGAATAACAACGATAAGTACAAGAAAATCATTAAAGTAGGACGGTTTTAATGAAAATTAGGATGTTTACGAAGCCTTGCAAATGTACAAAATGATCTTTCTTTTATGTTGGAACTAAAAAGTCGATTTTCTTGCCGTCAGACGGAATGAGCTCTAACTTTTTGTAAAATTGTTTATTTTTTTAGATAATAATTACGTTTGACTAAAGTGTCGATATATCTGCTAGCGTTTTAAAAAACAAATAACACCAACACTTTAGTCAAACGTTATTATCTTTAGATCAATCGCTAAAAGTAAATAGTAAAAGTTTCACAGAATCTTCCGTCTTTTGAACAAAGAAAAAGGATTCAAAAATTAGCTTAGTTTATTGTAGACAAAATTTCAAATCGAAATATCGTCATTAGCGTTTTCACATCGAAATTGTGAATCGAAATTCGGGCACTAATGTGGAATTTTTTCCATCAGAATTCAACTTTGACGCAATGAAAATATCATATTCGAAACCAGCGTCGAAAATCGAGTCGAATTATGTACCTGTTTTAACTTATTCGATCGATCACTGTAATTTTTTGATGAAAATCTCAGTAATTAATTCTTCGACGCGAAAATTCGAAAAAAATTAAAATGATCGAATACGATAAAAAATTTCTCTCATAGGATAAATCGATTTCTCGCAGTAAAGTTGATTTTGATCAGCGAAGAAAAAAAATGTAAAAATCTGGCGTCGTAACTATGTAGGTTAGGATTTAGGGAATCGAGCCATGTAAACATATTAGCTCTAGTACACCTAGAAAACGCGTGAAAACTTTAGAAAAATGGGTCGAACTTTTTGGCCGTTTTGTTTTGGAGCCCTTTGGTGGATAGGTGTTTGGGTCAAAAACGGTCTTTCGACCATTTTCTAGTTCAGTTTTCGACACTGAATTAGAATGGGGTAGTTAGAATTTTATTTATGCTTGTTATTAGTTTTCTACTTGTAAAAAAACTTAGAAACCTCACCTTTAAAAAAAATCGAGTTTTCCACCGCTTTCTAGTTTTTCAGAAATTTTACCTGGAAGAAAAGGTTTTAAGTTCGATTCTTGTTGCTCAAAGCCGACACGATGTTCTGCGCATTCATTTTGTTGCAAGAAAAAAAGAATGAATAACGTGTTGAAATGGATCGATGCTTCTCACGTTTGAGTGAAAAATTCGTTTGGAACGTTATACAGCTTTGATACTTGGATAAGAGTACTAATATTACACTATTTTTAAAGAATGCTATTCTTATCTAAACTATTCTTCCGTTCCGTTCTTGTACTTTGTCCTAACTCATGTATCTCACATACCTTCAAATTTTTTTAACTGCTAACTACACATAGTTTTCCTTTTCTGTTAAATGCCAGTAAAGCTGAAGTGTGTCATGTCTAACACATATACGCAGCGATATTGATTAAAGGCCTTCGATAAGTTGAAAAATAAGGCAAAGAAAGAGCAATTTTTGCACTATACTGCGTAAAAAACCCGGTTTTACCTCTCTTTTTTTAAGTTTTTGACTCGAAAACTCGCTCAGAACCTCTCATGGAACCTTGAAAAGTGGTTTTCTGTAGGTTTCGCGACGTACTCTATCAACTGGACAGATCAAAATTTTTTTTAGTGCAAATGATTTTTCGGCTTGAAAACCAAGATCTACAAAAATCGGGGCTTTAAAGTCAAAATTAACCCAAATCCTTATGAAATTCGAAATCAGCATACTCGATTACCCCCGGTCAACTGAGTCTCAGCTCAAAAGCGAGGGAACACTTGGTGGCCTTCCCTCGTAAGAAGATACGTATCTCCTTTAGCTTCCTAGCATAACGAGCTAACGAGGAAACATATGGACATGTCTGAGTCTGTTTTCAATGATTCATACCTTCATTAATAGAGGATATCGAGGTTGTGAAAAGCCTAAAGAGATTCGAGCCCATGACTTTTCCTCGAACGCTATAAGCATTTTTCTAGTTTTCTCAGCGAAAACTAGCAAAAATAGAAAAACATCCCTCTGTCCAAAAAAGTAGTAGAGAATTGAAACTTTTACACGTCCGACAGGTGATTTTAGCCTCCATTGCTTTCCTTTCACAAGTTCTAGAACTTGCTCCTTCAATGCGCTCACATTACGAATCCGTGAAAACTTCTCGGATCGAGCTGATATTTTACTATTGATCCATCTCAGTTTTGGGATTCTTTCAAAGATGTTCGATTTCAGTTGTCGACATCAGAATCAAAAACCGACTTTTCATATAGAAGACTTTTTTCAAAATTGTCCTTTGAAGAAATTTGAACCTCTCATTCCTCAAGAATATTTTGACAATATTATATTACCATGGAAAACCCCAATCACCCGAACTTAAAAGATTAATTTTCTGAACTTTGATCAATTTATAATAAGAAAGATTATAAAAGAAAAAAGCAACTTCATCATTATCATTTCTTTTTGATACAAACATTTGAATGAAAAAGTTTATTGATCACATTAAATCATTTTTACAACTGATATCAGAGTCCCACTTCTCCTCCCTACATTTTGCTTGTTCAATGAACCAAAATCAAAACTGCTGTCGAATGGAATTCTTTTTATTAATGAATGAAGAGAGAAAAGTTAATACACAAATAAAAAATTAAGGCACGAACGCAAACACACACAGACTTTAACATTAAAAGAATCCCACACTACTTTTATTATTTTATTTTTATTTTAAATTTAAAAACAATAAATAAAACCATCAGATTTCTATGACGTCTGACAAATCTCT